TGCAGTATCTAGGGTTGAGTTATGAACCAAAGGATAATGTAGACAATCCATGACCCATTGGTACATTTTGCTTTCCATATATAATATAAGCTTGTGATGATAAGCTTCCCTCATGAATTTCAGAAGAGCTGTGGTGAAATTATTTCCTCCACCACTTCAGCTGACCAATAGAACTTCTGAGTCACTCATTCCTCCCTTACCGGCCACCACTGTTAAAGAGTTTTCAGATTTCAGCTTCAGTTCCAAAGCAATCTGTCAGTCCTTATTTTCAACCAATTGGGAACAGGGGTCAAAGGGAGATGGGGGAGTGAAGATAAAGTCCTCCCATTTTTTCCTTATGCCAAATAACTTAAAGGTTTCTGGAAAGTGTAGTCAAAAGGCATGCTGCTGAATTCGGCCACAACTCTGCCAAATTTTAATTCCTTGGGTGTCATGGGTCCCAGTTTTTGGATGTATTCTGTAAATTAGCCAATTTGAGATATGTTGATTCAAAATTGTTGCCCTATGATGCATTGTGTCACCAGATTGAAGATTACAAAGTATCAACCCGATACGTATGTTATAGTCTTAATAGCCTGTTCTGTATTGTATGTGTATGTATTACACAATTAGGAAAGAGGAGTGCACATTTTGCCTGTGGAAAGCCTCAGATTCAATCCCTGTCATCTTTAGTTAAGGCGAAGGGAATCTCTGTTTCGAGAGCTGTGGTTCATTAAAGTAACCAAGTCTGAGCAGAATATATTGACACTACCATGTAGGAAGCCTTGCTTAATCATACAGGATTCTCCCTCAGCTTTCTCCCCAATGGAGAACTGCCATTATGCTCAGTTGAGAGCTTTTTATAATCACTTATTCCATGCTAGGAGCCATTAGTGTGAAATGATTCTTAGCCAACAGGTTGGCTTTTATCTGGAAATTGCTCAGGTAAACTTAAGTTAAATTCTTGGAATACACGATTGACAATTTTCGTTATTTTAAGTCAGTAGCTCTAGGGTTCTTTATTAAGGAAGAGATTTGAAGAAACAGCATAGTGATACTCTAGAAATGAGAGAGAAGAAATTGAAAGATAACAATTGAATGTAAAAAGGAATGGTTCCTTTTCATGTAATACTTGTTCAATACAACAAGGATGTACAAAATTAACTTGAGCTTACTTTTGAAGCATAGTAGATTGTTTATGAATAGTAACTTGTCTTTGTTTCCAAGGCACATTTTAAGCCATATAAACATTCAAACAGGAGAAATTGTCTGCAAACATTGAAAAAAGGCTACATGCTAAGTCTTTCTTGACATTTTTAATCAAAATTATACCAAGATCACTGAAGAAAGGGTTTTTTTCCTAGCAACCTTATCACATCTAGAAAATAAGGAGTGTCACTCTTAAGGATTGCATGAGTGAAACTACTTCTAAATTCTTGAATGACAGGTCTCTTTGTGTAGCCACAGTCATTCAAACTGGTTTTACAAGCTATATAAAGCCTGCAAGAGGAAACATTTGCTTCTAAAGGAAAATCTGGGGAGGGGGGATGTGCACAGAAAATTAAGCATTGGCACATCTAATGATTCATAATAGAATCTTCATGATATGGAAGTTAACTTGTTACGTCCTCCCTCCTTATTTTTTTAAATACATACTTGAATGCATAGAAATTGCTGGGGGATGGAATATGGTAAGGCACACCTATGGCTAACACTGAGTTTAGCATATAAATAACAGCACTTCTATTCTTCATTATGAAAACTACCTTTGGATTCCAGCACTTAATTACTGCATCAGTATCTTTAAAACAGTAGCCTGTATAAGTTGAGAAGCATTAAAACACAATGCTCCATGTTGAGGTATTACCCGTTAGGAGAATGAGTGCACTCAGGGAAACGTAGTGAGAGTGGTGTTGAATAACACACTACCAGCATTCAGATACACTGAATAGTAAAATGTAGGTTTTACTTCCAGTAAACAGGTAAACAAAGTCCAACAAACAGTCCAAATCATACACGGTTAAAACAGGTAGTATTCAATACAATCAGTCTAGGGATAATCCAAAAACGACGTCCAGTATCATAAACAAAATTCAGTAAATGGAGTTTGCTAACAGTTTGCAAGACTCACAGCAATTCCAGCAGAACGACGATCAGGCAAAAGGCAATAGGGAAATGCAAGAAGAGAACAAACCAGGTTTCTGGCTCCATCTTATGGAGGAACCTCAGCCAATCACAATTACAGCATTCTCTTAAAGATACAACAGTATTAAATAACTATCCTGGTTTATATATTGCCAACCCAACTCTTAGGTGACTATCATTCCTAACCCTCCAGTTATAATATTCTGTGTGAGTTATATACTTGTGTGTTTCTTTGTATGAGGAGGATTATCTTTGCTCAGATTTTAAGTTCTTACGTGAGCCCTGCTCTAACTATAACATGGATCTCTACCAGATAAAATTTACCTACATGTTGTAAAGGAGATTTAAATGGATGAAACTTTTATTTTGTCTCTGTGAGATGGCAGTGTTCCACTTTAAAAACTGTGATGTAAATATGAATAGAGGAATTAGAACTATAATGGTACAAAGAGAGAGAGAGGAGAAAGAGAGATACTTTGAAATATTATTTTTCTCAATCCCTGCAATTTGATGCTAAAGAGAAAGGGATAGGCAGTCATGTAGCTTCTCTACTCAAAAATGCTGTTTATTAGCATGTACACTAACTAAGTCAGGTACAAAATTGCATTTTGTGAAACTAGTATTGTCATGATGTCTTTTTGACCACATTAAACCCAGTAATCTGTCTTCTTTTTTTTTTTTGGCTTGGTATCCTTCCTGTAAAAGCTATGTTCTGATGTTTGTGAAGGTTGAAATAACTTTTGTTAGATGCCAACTGTTCAACTTATTGCAAAAGCTAGAAACAGATCTATTTTACTCCCAGCTCTGCTATAGAGGCCTCATGAAATAGGGGGGTAGCTTCAGCTCACAGTACAGGTAATCCTTGACTTATGTCCATTTGTTAAATGACAGTTGGAAGTTACAATGGCCTTGGAAAATGTGATATACCCATCCTCAAATTGATTACCGTTACAACTCCCACAGCCATGTGGTTGCAATTCAAGCACTTGGCAACCAGCTTGCATTTACCATGATTCAGTGTCTTGGGGTCACATGATCACAATTTCAAACTTCTCAGCCAGTTTGCTTCTGACAAACGAAGTCAATTGGAGAAACCAGGTTTCCTTAATAACTGCATGATTCACTTAATGACTATGTGATTTGCTTATCAATCATAGTAAAATATTATAAAATTAAGTCCCATCACTTGATGATTTGCTTAGTGACCAAAATTCCAGTAGTTGTACTTGTAAACCAAGGACTACCTGTAATTAAGCCAGATTTCTTGGTTTGAATTGTAGATTGTTTCCTTATCTGTATCTGCTTTGTTGTTTCCAGGTTAACCCCTAAAATTGGCTTCCCTTGGAGTGAAATCCGAAACATTTCTTTTAATGATAAGAAGTTTGTTATAAAACCAATTGACAAGAAATCACCAGTGAGTATAACTGATAATTAGAGTTGCTCCTGATGAAAGACAATAGTGGTTATTTATTTATTTTTTAAGGCCCCACCTGTTAATAAATCTTAGAATGAAATTGCATGCCCATTCAGTAGTTGAATTATATTGGAAACTGGTTTCTATAAAATAAATATGGTTAATGGTTAAAATTGCATCAACATAATGAGGAATGCTCCCTTCTCTTCATCACGTCCACATCAATATGTTAGAATGTTTGTTGAATCACTTTATTGTATTTATTGAATATTAATGTTATAGACATCACTTTCTTTCTCTTCTCTTGAGCAAAATTGGAGTCTTAAAAGGATAACTTGTAAAAAAAAAAGAAAGGAATATTTCCTTATTCAGTAACAACCTCTATCATTGCATTGTAAATTTTAATTTTCCAGATAAATTTTGAAATAATCTTTCTGTAAATCTTTTTTAAGAAGTTGGCATATTGAAAAATATGTTTTGTTTTGTTTTGCTTTCTTTTATAATATAAATAGGTCTTACCAGAAACTGCTTCAGTTTCAGAACAACTTCCTCTTTTAAATATTTGAATACTTGAAATTATTCTTTTCATGTAAAGAGAAAATTTAGTCATGTAGCCATTAACCATATTGAAATTTTGTATTCCAAATATTCACTGGATAACCCTGAGTAACTTTATTGTGTTCTTTTTCTTAATGTTAGCCTCATTTTCTCTTTTCACTATTTCATAATTTTCCTTCTGTCTTTGTTCCATCCTGCAAATGTACTTGCTCTCATACTTGGCTATTAAGAACTTAGGGACAGAAATTTTGAATTTGGATGATTTCCATACCGTTACTAACCCATGCACAAAGCACAATGAATATCAAGGACAAGTACAAAAAATGGAAAGAAGGACAGACAACTAAGGCAGAATATCAGCAGATAGCCAGAATCTGCAAAGATATGAAGTCAGGAAAGCAAAAGCTCAGAATGAACAAAGACTTGGAACAAAAGTCTGCCAATAAAAAAAGTTTCTTCCAACATATAAATAACAAGAAAAAAATCAAGGAAACAGTCGGCCCACTAAAGAGAGAAGACGGCAAGGAAGTAACAGGCAACAGAGAGAAAGCAGAACTGCTTAACTCATTCTTTGCATTGTTCCTCATGCAAAAAGAAACTAGCTCAACCCACCAAAAACGTAACTGTAAAAGACAGACCAGAAATAAAAGTTAAAATAAGCAAAAAAAAAATAGTAAGAAAACACGTGTCTGATCTTGATGAACACAAATCACCAGGGCCTGATGGATTACATCCCAGAGTTTTAAAGGAGCTGGCAGAGGTCATCTCAGAACCACTGCACCATATCTTTCAAAAATCCTGGCGCACCAGGGAACTACCAGAGGACTGGAAAAGAGCTGATGTGGTTCCCATCTTCAAAAAAGGGGGGGAAAACAGACCCATGAAACTATAGACCAATCAGCCTAACATCAATACCTGGGAAGAAAAGATAATAAAAAAAACAGATCTGCCAACATCTAGAAACAAGTAAAGTAATAACTAGCAGTCAGCATGGGTTTGTTAAGAACAGATCATGCCAAACCAATCTTATTTCATTCTTCAACACAGTGACTAAATTAGTAGACCACCAAAATACTGTGGACATAAGATTTCAGCAAGGCATTTAACAAAGTAGACCACAACCTACTTCTTAGTAAGCTAGAAAAAAGTGGAATAGATAGCATCACCACTAGATGGACTCACAACTGGCTGACATACCGTACTCAACGAGTAGTCCTTAATGGGTCTAAGTCTACATGGAGGGAAATAAGCAGTGGGTGCCACAAGGTTCTGTCTTAGGCCCAGTACTCTTCAATATCTTCATTAACGACTTAGATGAGGGAATAGAAGGGGAACTTACTAAATTTGCAGATGATACTAAGCTGGCAGGAATAGCTAACACCCAAGAAGATAGGCTCAAGATCCAGATGGAACTTGACAGACTAGAACACTGGGCCATAAAATGAAATTCAATATAGAGAAAAGTAAAGTCCTACACTTAGGCAAGAAACACCAAAAGTACACATATAGACGGTGAAACCAGGCTCAATAGCAGTAACTGTGAGAGGGATCTTGGAGTCTTAGTGGACAACCAGCTAAATATGAGCCAGCAGTGTGTAGCCGCCGCCAAAAAAGCTAATGCAATCCTAAATTGTATTAACAGATGGATACAGTCAAGATCAAGGGAAGTACTAATACCACACTATAAAGCCTTAGTAAGACCACACCTAGAGTACTGCATCCAGTTTTGGTCACCACATTATAAAAAAGATGTTGAGGCTCTAGAAAATACAGAGAAGAGCAACCAGGATGATTAGGAGACTGGAGCCTAAAACATACAATGAACGGTTGCAGGAACTGGGCTTGGCTAGTCTAGTAAAGAGAAGGACCAGGGGAAACATGATACAGTCTTCCAATATTTGAGTGGCTGCCACAGGGAGGAAGGGGTCAAGCTATTTTCTAAAGCGCTTGTAGGCCAGACAAGGAATAATGGATGGAAACTGAACAAGGAGAGATTTAATCTGGAAATAAGGAGAAACTTTCTGACAGTGAGAACAATCAACCAATGGAACAGCTTGCCCTCGGAAGTTGTGGGAGCGCCATCACTTGAGACTTTCAAGAAGAGATTGGACTGCCATTTGTCAGAAATGGTGTAGGGTCTCCCGCTTGGGCTAGATGAACCATAAGGTCCCTTCCAACTCTGATTATCTGTTATTTATCATAGAAGAGGCTGTTAGAGAAGTATTGTTATAGCAGTTATTAAATTGGTCAGACTCAGAAATTATTAATGTATTTTTAGTGCTGAAATTAGCAATCATAGGCCAGTCATGGGAGAAGATCTAATCCCTATATGATTAAGCAGGTTAATTTGTTACTGCTTGGATTTTCCATTACAAAGAACTAAGGAGCAAGTGAAAGGTTTAACAAACACAAAAACTATAAAGTAGGGCACTGCAAGTCTGAGTGTGCATGTGTATCTTTTTAACCTTTTCATCTCTTCTTGCCAGGACTTTATATTTTATGCTCCTCGCCTAAGAATCAACAAGAGAATCCTGCAGCTGTGCATGGGAAATCATGAGCTGTATATGCGCCGTAGGAAACCTGATACCATTGAGGTCCAGCAAATGAAAGCCCAGGCCCGTGAAGAGAAGCACCAGAAAGAGCTAGAAAGGTCTGTGCAGGAGCATAGGAACTACAACATGGCCTCCTACATTAAGTGTGATCATTCTGCAGTAGATATGTTGATAGCCTTACCATACTGTAGCCTACATGGCAATTATAGGGATACCAGAAATTAACCTAGAGTGAGTATAGATTGGTAAGGGGTTGACTTGCTTGAGATCTTCAGATCCTCTTTACGTCCTTCATGATTCCTTAATAGAAAAGTTTAGGTCACCAATCATGAGTGACTAGAAATGCAATCATTACATAATAAGTACTACTCTTGGTTTAAACAAATGTTCAGATACTTTCGCATTGTTTTGTCCTGGTTATTATGAATTTTTTAAAAAAAAAAAAGTGTGGTAAAATGTTTCCTAGTCTGCTCCAGTTCTAGAACTAATTTAATTTTATATCTGAAGAGAGATGTTGGAAAATGAGAAGAAGAAAAGAGAGACAATTGAGAAGGAAAAAGAGCAGATGATGAAAGAGAAAGAAGAGCTGATGATGAGGCTGCAGGAGTATGAAGTCAAGACACAGAAAGCAGAAAGAGGTACGACTTGCATTTTGTTGCCGAAACCCACATCCATCTTTCTATGTTCCCCACTTCTGATCCAATAAGCAGTGTCTTTAACAAGCAATAGTGATGTAAAATGTCATGGTGTACCATGGATTGAGTTTCCCAATTAATAGAAATACCCAGACAGGTAAACATGTCCTTCTGAGAGGAGAAGAATCTCACCCTAATGTGCTCCCAGAACTTTTTTCTGAGAAAGACTCCCTCAAAGAGAGTTGTGAGCAGGAGGAGCCTGCAATAACATGGAATCATGGTGTGCTGTTACCATCAGGCTCTGATGTTAGGCAGCGCTGCTGCATAGTTCCAAAGTATCAGCCTCCTACGTTAATAGTTTGGTTGACCAAAAAATTAACCATTGGAGTGATGTTTGTGTAGTGTCAAGTGCAACGAAACCAGAAGTAATCATCACTGATTATCTTTAGCAGGTACGTGATTTGGACAGAGTTGGTCTAATAGATATAGATAGAAATAATCACATATGATTATAAAACCCAAATGGATGACATCTGCCTTTAATCTATAACTTGCTCACAACATGGACACGTCCTTGTTGGTTTCTTGGCCACAAAGCAAAGGTGATTTTCCTCTGCTTGCTTCTAAGATGTCCAAAAGGTACTTTTTTCCAAAACCAACTGGACTTTCTAGGTGCTAGAATGTAGGATTTTTTTCTTTGAAAATGTTTTGCTTCTCTCTAAGAAGCTTTTTCAGTTCATGGAAAAAAAAAACACCTTTAGGACAACCATGACCTGAATAATTGAGAGTAGACATTCCTTCTAAGATGTTTTCCAGTCTTCCACCTCAGTCAACAGCCTGAGGACTTCCTGCAAGTCAGCCAGTGCTGTCATCTCTGGTGACTAAAGCTGTAACTATTTATCTTCAAAGAATATCTTGCACATAAACAAGCACCAGCATTCCAAAAGCATAAATGTATGGAAGTCAGAAGTCTCAGTTGCATGTCATACTTAGCCATAAAATGATATGGTGAAAGGAACTTCTCTAAATCTCTGCAAATACTACAGGTAATCCTCGACTTACGACCACAATTGATCCCAAAATTCATGTCACAGATAAAGTTGTTACATGAGTTTTGCCCCATTTTACAACTTTTCCTGCCATACTTGTTAACTGAATAACTACAGTTGTTAAATTAGTAACACGGTTGTTAAGTGAATCTGGTTTCTCCATTGACTTCGCTTGTCAGAAGGTTGCAAAAGCTGACCACATGGCCCCATAACACCGCAACGGTTATAAATGTGAGTCGGTTGTCAAGCATCCGAATATCAATCTGCTGCGATGGTCCTAAGTGTAAAAATTGGTCATAAGTCTTTTTTCAGTGCTGTTGTAAACTTCAGTCATTAAGCAAACTGTTGTAAATCAAGGACTACCTGTACTACCTTCTCCCACAAGAAGCCAGACTGGTGCAATTTCCAAAGAGTGGGTTTTTAAAAAATCAGCATTTAAAATATATGTGACTGTTCCCCCCCCCCTTACCCCTTCAGAGCTCTCAGACCAGATCGAAAAAGCCAGGCAGCTGGAGGAGGAAAGAACAAGAGCCCAGGAGGAAGCAGAGCGTCTGGAGAACGAGCGTTTGATGGCTCTGCAAGCTAAGGAAGAACTGGAAAAGCAGGCTGTTGACCAGATGAAGAGTCAGGAGCAGCTGGTATGGATCGGAGGCATTCCAGAAGGAATTGATACGAATCTTAGCAAAATAGTTGGGCTAAGCTCCTCTCCTCAGTGGTTATATAGCTTTTTAAATCTTGCCTTTGGTTCTCAAAGCCTTCACGGCAACCTACGGTGTGTTTTCAAAGTAATTTTAAAACATGTGGTCAGAGTGCAGTACTGCAGGCTACTTCTGCTGACTGTTGGCTGCCTGCAGTTTGGCAGTTCAAATCCCACCAGGTCAAGGTTGACTCAGCCTTCCATCCTTCTGAGGTGGGTAATATGAAGAGCCAAAATTGTTGGGGGCAATATGCTGACTCTATAAACTTCTGAGGGCTGGAAAGCACTATGAAGCTGTTTATATAAGTCTTAAGTGATTTGCTATTGCTAAAATGGATAGAGTACAGAAAATGGACCACACAAGCCAAGTTTTTCCTGAATCAATGACAAAATAAAATTTAAGGACGCATCTGTTTTTACAGAACAGGGATTTCTACAGTCTAGTGCTGCTATAGAGAAAGTGGTTGAGCTGCATTTGAGCTGGAAATGAATTAAAACCCCTGCAGGGGTCAAAGATTCCTTATAGAAAGAAATTGTCTTTTAATGTTCTAACTTGCAGCCAGAAATAAAGTAGCTATTGTTGATACTGCAGGAATAGACTAATGGGTTTCTTATAGTTGGCACTAGCAAATTTTATTCAGGCGATATTTAATAAAATTTGTGAAAGTTCTCTTAAGGCCAACTTAATAAAGTTGGATGATAGTTATCTATCCTTAGCATAAGTAAAGTTTGCCCACCTATATTTTACATTTTTGTAGCTGCTATTATGTCATTTTCTGACCCAAGAACAGACTCTGAATGTCCGACCCCATCCAAAACCGGAGGCTCTAGGAATAGGGAGCAGTTCTCTTACTGATCCATAGTACTTCTATCTCATGTAATTTCTTTTTTCCCCTCTCAAAAAAGGCTACAGAACTTGCAGAATACACAGCCAGAATTGCTCTTCTGGAAGAGGCAAGGAAGCGTAAAGAGTCTGAGGTTGAAGAATGGCAGCACAGGGTAAGCTAATGTGTTCCACTCTGCTTTACTTTCAGGGTTTTAGCAACTTTAGGTCTTCCTTGGATCTTGATTACAATATAATTCATTGGAAATATACTGTATATCATACAGTCTATTGTCCTATAAAATTTGCTACACTATAAAGAATATAAGATAAGCCACACTGCATCAGAACTGACATTTCATATTTGCTTTCCACAACGACCAACAGGGTGCTTCCAGAAAGCTCATTAAGAGTGTGTGAATTGAGTGTTATAGCACTGGCCTGCTATTTAAGAAAAAATAAGTATTTTTTTATTCAAACTAGGAGTATTTCTATTACCAGAAAGATCCAAATAAAATTCAAAACCTGCTTTGACTTTTCTAACATTCCCTTTGCAAGCTGCATGATCTTTCTATCATTCTTTTTGATAGGGCATAACATGGAATGGAAGTAGTAATATACATAAAAACCCAATATTTTGCAAATTGTCTGAATTCCATTCTATCATTGCAAGATAATCTGTTTTTCTGAAATTCAAATATGTAACTATTTTGGCCATGAAAATTGGCAAAATTTTCATAAGCAGTTGTCAGGTTTTGATTGACTCTGAGCTTGTTGATCAGAAAGGTCAGCAGTTCAGTGGTTCGAATCCCTAGCACCGCATAACGGAGTGAGCTCCTCTTACTTGTCCCAGCTTCTGCCAACCTAGCAGTTCAAAAGTATGTAATAATGCAAGTAGAAAATTAGGGACTGCTTTGGTGGGAAGGTAACAGTGTTCCGTGCACCTTCAGTGTTTAGTCATGCCGGCCACATGACCATAGAGACGTCTTTGGACAGCGCTGGCTCTTCGACTTTGTAACAGAGATGAGCACCACCCCCTAGAGCCGGAAACAATTAACACATATGTGTGAGGGGAACCTTTACCTTTACTTTAATGTAACATTTAAATTGTTTTTTCTCAGATAGATAATAATAAGACCTCATTCTATCTGCAGCAACATCAGTAAAATTCAAAACATAAATTTATCACTGTTAAGTTAAAACAAAAATGTCTAGACAAGATCTCAAAAATTATTATTTCCTTTCCAGGTTCATTACAAATGGAATTGCAATTGATAATTTTGCAACATTAGTAACCATCATTGACGCACTCTGTATAATAGTTGGCTTAAAATAGCTTTGAAAAGTTTGTGATCAGGCTGTACTGAAACTTCTTCTCCATAAAAGAAAGCAATTAACACTTATTAACTGCTTCTTGTACTAATATCCACTGAAATCCCATTTCCTGTAACAACAATTGCCTTAATGGAATTGTCCCAATAGTCATTCCTGGGGGGAAAAATTGGCCATATTGGAAAAATGCTGTTCATTAATTTTCTTCTTGGTGTTTTAACAATGGCTTCAGTCTTTGTTTTTGTCAGGTTTCTTGTCATTAGAGGTTAGCAGATGTCCTAAGTACTTTACCTCAGTTCAAATTAACACAAGATTTAAACCAGTTACTGCTTCTAATTCTGAACAATTTTATACAGGCTATAAACCTAGTACTTATGAATTTTAAACAGTACAGTTTTACAACATTAGTAACTAAACAAACAGTGCATTCAACTTCTAAACCTTCCATTTTAATCAGTCCATTACAAAGTTCTGAAGAAGGTTCTTCCTCATATGATATACAGTACATAATGTTTTAGTTTTACCTTTTTTTGTTCTTAGTCCTTCACTTTTTATAAAAGATTCAGCCACCCACATTGTCTGCATTCTTTTCCAACCATTGCTCATGCACCTTTGAGAAAGCTCTGTATCTCAGACATGGGTGCTTCCAATCTTTGGTCTTTGGCATTACAACTGATGACTGAGGTTTAAGGCTTTCTCATTACTTCTCAAAATAACCAGTTCCTTATCAGTATGCCCAAGGTCTTTTAAGTGAGTTACAGCCTATTCCTCAGCTCTACAAACATCAACAGCATGTTCCAGTGCTAAATCATCTGTCCCTAAACAATCTGACTCTTACTCTTTCATGTCTTATTCCATGTAATCACGTAACTGCCCCAATCAAGACTGCATTAAAAGATTTAATTATGCTACATAGGCCTCTCTGTTTTATTGTAAAAAAATGCGTTCCTCCCTTATGTAATGTCCTTGCTTAATACATAGCAAGTTTCAGATTTCTCAACACCTGCAACATCTGCTTATTAAACTTCTCTTCAAATTAGAATGTATTAAATATGTCTGTTGTCTCCTCCCCATCAACAAGCTGAAACAAGACTGCTTGTAATTTCTTATTATTTTGATTAGCCCCACTTGCCACAATAAAGTTCAACCCTACGTTTCCATCTTCTCCAAAATTGCAACAAAATCTAAACCTAGAGGCTGTTGATTACACCTGCACCACACTCAAAGCTTCTCAGTTGACTTCTAAGTCTATATTATGTTTACATAACATACATAAATAATAAGAAAGACAAATTTAGTACACAGCTAGGCTTTATTGATAACTTGTCAGTGATAGAGAGCCATTCATGCAGAGATGGTTCTTTTGATCCACTAATATTCTTCTTGCAAGTAATGCATTACAACATATAACTATACCAACTTGTGTTTTCCAAATAATACATTCAAAAGCATATTGCGTCTAGTAGTATAAGTATTGCATAGCCATTGTGACTGGATTAGTAACACTTGATAGCTTTATTCCTCACAGGTTTGACTATTGCCTTTTAAAACATTCAGCTTTATGGAAGTAATTTACTCTATTTTGAGATAGAGATTCCATAGTTAAATATGTCGAAGCTTCGGGAACAGCTTCTCATCAAACAGCTGGTCAGGTGGCTATACAATTGAGCCATGTGACATAATTTAGGGGAGCACAAATCCCATTTGCCGGTATGAATGGATAGAAAAGTGCATCTGAGCCAGAAAGAGAGTCAGGAACATAGTCATTGGGAAAAGTGAATGGAAGCATGGTTGAAAATTTAGTTATTCGTTGATTAAATTATCATAAATCTGTATATTTTAAGATTATTTGGGGAACACACAAATGTCATCAGATCTCATCTATTTTCTAAATAACATTATCACTGGAAACATATTCTTGGTTTCCCTTTTCTAGGCTAAAGAAGCCCAAGATGATCTGGTGAAAACAAAAGAAGAATTACACCTGGTAATGACTGCTCCACCTCCTCCACCTCCACCTGTATATGAACCAGTGAACTATCATGTCCATGATAATCTTCAAGATGAAGGAACTGAGTCCTCTGGCTACAGTGCAGAATTCTCGAGTGAAGGCATACTGAACGATCGTAATGAAGAAAAGCGAATTACTGAAGCCGAAAAGAATGAGCGTGTCCAAAGACAGCTGAAGGTAGGACTTTCCACATAATCTGTTAGCAATATAAAACAGTTATTATCATTCTAAGTACCATTTTATAATTTGCTCAAGAAGGGAGAAAGATGGTAATTGAAATGTATCTTTTTTTCAAAGGCTTAAGAAAGGTATCATATTTTATGGAGAAAGAAGATAATAATGTAGGATATAATGTAAAAATCTTTGCTACCATGTATCTTATAGTGGAAGGTAGCAATGACTTGGCAAATTTAAATGATCCAGATCTTGCATCTTCTTCTAATGCTAACCATTATAGGCTCTTAGACATGACTATGCTTATGACCATAGAACGATATGTACAAAACTCACCCTCAGATAGCATTTGCAGAATTTCCATATTAGTTTTTTGTTTTCCTCATAATGTCAGTTTCACAAATTTATTCTTTGCAAGTGTGTAATACTGTGTTTAAATATTGTAGACGCTGACTGATGAACTAGCTCAGGCCAGAGATGAAGACATGAAGACTCAGAACGACCTCATCCACACAGAGAACATGCGACAAGGCCGAGACAAGTACAAGACACTGAGACAGATACGACAAGGGAACACCAAGCAGAGAATTGATGAATTTGAAGCTATGTAAATGTAGTTTCAATGAAGACTCTGGGAAATGCAGATTTTGAATGTTGACGTTTCTTCATGAAAGGTCACTTGCAAAGTCATACTAGTAACTAAAGAAATAAACTCCCACACTGTCAGATGTCTGCTGAATTTAATAAAAACAGCCACCAGGATTTAAGTATACTAAGGAGAACAGTCACAGAGATGTAGTAAAAATCTTATTAATATTGTGTCAAAATACTAATGTCAAAGGGTGTCTCAGAGTCACTTTTTTTCTACATGTTAAAATATTTTTTTCAGCTTTAATAGAGGGCTTTTTACTACTACAAGTATATCCAGATTTGTTTGGAGTGTGGGAAGATGTGCCATGTTTCTTGTTCTTAAACACCCATTGTATTTGAAGATTGTGATGTTCTTAAGTCGCAAGTCATTCCTCCATCTTGTTATTGCTGTAAAAATGTCACAAAAGGACTCTAAAAAAACCTTTCATCTTGAATTGGAGAGGCTCCCTGTGATCTCTCAGAGGGAGTGCATGATAGGCACTCTTGGATGCCTCTCTTATATTACAGATAGAGGGAAATTGTTGGTGTTCAATATTATACAAGTGTTGAACTGCAGCTTAACCAGTCAGCTGTAGTATCATATTTATATATATATATATACACAGACGAACACAATACAGAAGCCTGATGATGGCAGATGAGATTCTGCCGAAACGTTGCTACAACTTTAAAAGCACAACTGAATACCATACATACATACACACACACACACACACGCAATTTAAAGATATAAGTAGCATATAATTCTAGTTTGAAAAGGGTATTTTTGCTTTGTATATTTTGTTATTATTTCTTGTTAAACGAATGATATTTGGGGGGTCAAAATCTAATCTCTTGGGTGAGGCACAATCTAGAAAACATTTGTAAAGATGATTTTTTTTTACTTGAAAGAAAATTGTAAAGCATGCCTGTTATTCAATACAAATAATTTCACTATTCCTATTTTTTTCTAGCAAATTTTCTAATTTTAAAAAAATGGTACCGTTTCAGACTCCAGCCATGAAGGGACTTTTATCAGCATTTTAAAATGTCTCTGTTGAAGAGAGTTGCTATGGATTTGCCTCAGTATCCCCTTGTTAACCTATTTGACCACCATCACTTCCCAGCCTCCCCCCCCCCCCCCCGCCAATCCCATTTTTGGCTTTGGAAACCCCCATCGTCAAGAGTACAGTATGTGGCTAATCCTGCTTTACATACAACTTCCTATGCTGCTTTGTATTTTGAAGTTTATACCTCTGGAATCCTGATACAATGTGGTGGGATGATTTGTTGAATGCAATTGACCCATAAATAAAAATCTGCAAGGCAACATTTTTTTTCTCTTAAATTTCTCCATTTCTTGTTTCTGAAAAACTATGAAGCAACCCATTTGTTCAAGCGACAGGGCATATTAATAATAAAACAAAGTAAAATAATTATGGAAGAAATTATGACACTGAAGGTAAACTTTTAATTAAGTTCAATATGTAAATTAGTAACACAGAACAGCAAAACCAGATGCCAGGTAGAAATTAAGTTAATAACTATGAGCTTTAACCAGCGCTAAAGTTTCTAAATAGTGTGACCCATGTTTAGCCTTAATCATAGTCTAGCTGACTCTAGCAACTGAACCAGCTGATTACTGAACAGTACTGATGTAAACAATAGGAATGGCAGCTGCCATTGCCCCTCTATTGTCAAGATAGCCAGCACTTCCGATGAAGGGTGGGTGTTTTTTTTTAAATTTTTGCTTTCCTCTTTTCTGCAAAGAACAAAGTCTGCAATAGCCTGATCACAGCCACCACACCCAGAATTCTGAAAGGCTTATTGTTTGTTTCCCAGGAAAGATGCCCCTATTTGTGGGTGACAAAAAAAAAAGTCAAAATGGAATGAAAGAACTGGTGGCTTCTGCATTCCATGTTATTGTCTTGAAAGTCTACCCTGTTTCTCCAATACGGCCTCCCCCAATGGGAAGTCCCAGCATGTTTTACAGGCATGAAATGAAATTAAGCCCCTCCCCCCAAATTAAGGCCTATATTAAAACTTGCGAAATGGGGAATGGTGGGGGGGCTTGCCATTAGGAAGTACTTTTGTTGCACACCTGGATATGGTGCTGCCTGCGTTGACCCCGATACGAAGTGCCCCACTAACGCCAAGGTCAACATCCAAGCAGTCGCCGCCCGCCCACCCAAAGATGCAAGGGGGGGGAATTAAGTCACCCCTGAAAAGACGGCCTAGCCATTTTTTCAGGGCTCAAAAAAAAAATAAGACCCGGCCTTATATGAGAAACACGGTAGTGATGGTTTAACTTTAGGCTAGCCTGGGTTTGGAAATCATTAGACTGAGGCTGAGCTAAACCTGTAACAGGCCATAATTATATCTTACGAGTAAAGCATGTCTTTTTAACTATCGTTTAGATTCTCCTGTTGAACAATGTGATTTGTGCCCTGTAAATGTATGCCTCTGTTTCACTTCAGTTCTTGGTAAGTTTCCATTGTCTGTAGCCTTGTGAATACCAGGAATAATTACTTGATAATGAGAAGAGGAGGGGGTATTCCCTCACCCTTTTTTGAGCTTTATTTGTTCACCAGGACAGCTGTATTCACATTTATTCAAAAACCAGTGCAGCATTCTGCACTCCTGCTTTATCAGGATCTTGAGTTCATGAAGATGTATACAACCCAACATGGTATTTTGTAATTGCCAAATTACCCATATTATTAACTCATTCCATTTATTAAAATGTTAATTGTAATTTAAATGGGAAAGTAGCATCCTGAAAAACTAGCATCCTTACTAAACATCTTCATTTCCCAGATGACATTGGGAAATATAGATTTTGCATCAACATAGTTGCAAAAGATGTTCTTAGTAAAAAAAAAAAATGATGGATGGCTACAGATTCCCAGATATTTCTGCAGACAGTAGTGTTTAAAATATGTAATACTTCTTGTAAAAGGTCTTCCTGCAGTACTGTAGGATACCCTGGGTATGTTTGGTATTAGTAAATTTTCCCTTTATTTTTTCTTATCCTGAAATTAGCATATATGTAATACTTGTCTAAATAATCTTAGCACTTCATTAAAAGACTGAAGAATGCTGCTTTTCTATGTAAAGAATATAGGCATATGGAGAGTGCAAGGGATAGACAAACAACTGTCGTTGAGTGAATATGTTGTTCAAGAATTCCTCCTGAGCTGCATTTTTATAAACAATATAGTATATAACTTTCCCATAAAACAGCAGTGGTCATGTTGGCCATGAGAAAAACATAAAAATCAATACAGAACATATTTTTGTTAGGGCCAATAGAAGTTTAATAAGAGTTTCAAAGTTCATTTTTATATAATTGTATTCAAAGTTTTAAAAAGAAACTAATAAAACTAATAAAAGGAATTGGAAAGAAAGCTAAGAAGTGCAGTAAAGGAAAAAATAGAAGTGGATTCTGGTCTTTACAGCAAGTTATAAATACAATTATAAATTTACCTTTTACTCTAAGGTTACAAATGACTTTTCTTTCTACAATCAATCCTGTATAATTATAAAACCATAAATCAAAAATCATTTTTCTCTTTTATGCAAAAAGTCCATAAAGGGGTCAGTAAATCAGTAAGAAATATTGTCTTTTCTCTGACCAGAAAATATACTTTGATATTTAATAATTTTTAAAATCCTTTGAAACAGTATATGTATTTGAATTCAAAATTTTCTAGCTTTTTTACATGTCTGCAAAACATGAAAACATGTCCCTCTTTCATATTTCCAACATGTATTTGAAGTGCCTTGATACATTCTAATCTAGACAATTTCTTTGGTGACACACACTAGCATATAATATTTTATAAAAATACTCTTATAACAATGTAAATTTCAATTCTTTCAAGGGTATATTTTCCCATTGTTCCATATATATATTATAGCCAAAGTTTTAGCCCACTTTTACTTGTTTTTCTGTTTCAAATTTCAATGAACCTTTATACATTTTAGCAATTTACATTTGCATCATTTGTACACAATTCTGCTTCAAATCCAGTCTTACAATATTCAAAACAATAAATTCTATCAGCCTACCATTAGTTCTTCACTTGGTTTTATTTTAGTCCCCTTGACAAAAAAATAAAAAATAAAAGAACTTCCAAAACCAACGAAGTCATCTGCAAAAAGGCATTAACTTATATTTTTCTTTTTTTTTATCTTTACTTCCACAATACTCTTGTCTTATTATTTCTATTCAGTATTTCACAAATCAAACTAACAAGAGAGGAAATAGTAGGCAGCCCTGTCTTATTCCTTTTTGTATCTCACAAGGCTTTGTTAAATCCCCATTAACATTTTTTGTGTTTTCTATGAAGTATAAGTTGATCTTACCTATTTACCCAATTATTTAATAATGATATTGGTCTATAGGTTGGTATTAAAGTCAGATCTTGTTCTTAGTGTTATATTGGCCTCTTTCCATCTCTCTGACATCTTTCCTCCCTGTAAGAGTTAATTTGTTTTGTAAAAATTGTAAACATTCATCTTCAAAACATGTATAATAAGAACCTGACAACTCATCTGGCCCAGGTACTTTGCCTGGTTTAAACTTTTTTTATAGTTTCAGAAACTTCCTCTATTTTTATAGGTCCATTATCTGCTTCTGTTCCTCTGTAACCCTTGGTAAATTTTGTTTTTTTTAGATACTCATCTATTTTCTCTAGAAATATGTCACTTTTTTTGCCCCTTTTTTATTTATTTAGTTAGTTTAGTTTGTCAAACATATATGAGAAAACAAATATAAGTATGAACATAACATATAAACAAGTATATACATAATAAATGAGGATGAATAAATGGGAACAGTAGGACGGGGTGGCAGGCACACTGGTGCGCTTATGTGCGGCCCCTTAAACAAGTTGGAATAATATTGATAAAATACTTTTTGTATAGCCATGCTTTCCATTAATACAGTATCTCCTTGAAGCGATTTGCCTTGAGTTATTAAAAGATTTTCATATGGAATTTATCACTAAAAAGAGATTTTGCTATGTGGCAGAATAAGACAATTCCATCTGGTGAATCAACATTCTCTTAGGAAATTGGTGTTTGGTGGTAGATTGGAATGGAGTGATCCCCACACAACTGGATAGAACTTTTGAGAAAAATATTAAAATCACACACAGGTTTCAGAGTTTATGAGAATTCAACACTGACACAATTGATTGGAAACCAAAAAAAGGAGGAAAGGAAAAATACTGGCCAGTTCTTGAGCCACCCACCTTTATCCCAGTTTTCATTCTTAGATGCATTGTTCATTATTTCCTCTTTGTTCAACATCAAATAAAACATACACAACTATTTTACAGTTGAAGTGGATTTGGAGTAATTACGGTATTTGGTTCCACTGTACAACCGTATGTATTGGGTTGGCTTTTAACTGTATATGGGTCATTTGGCAGTAGGGAAAGAATTGATTGCCACAGAAAGAGACTAACAGGATACAAATCAAGCTGAAAATTATTCCATTTGCCCTTGTTAGTCTTATATCTACTTACTTTGGTCTTTAGGTTGTTTATTAAAGAGAAGGCAAGACAAGGAAATCCAGAATAGGGAGCAATAAAGTAATTCAGCAAGCAACAAGTAGATAAGTAATTGACATGGATGGGTTTCAAAGTTTGTAAGTTTAAAATGTGAGTATGTATGTGCATTATGGTTGGTTATCTTTTCTGATTTAAAAAATAGAAAAAAATAGAAAAAGGTCTAATAAAAAATCAAAATGGAAAAGGCAGTAATAAAAATGAAGCATGAGAAAAAAATATTTATTCTTCATATCTGTGATAGATGTGTCTGTTGAAAAGTTCCCACTGAAGAAATCATTCCATTAAAGGATTATATTACCTAATAACACCGTTACAGGCATGTCTAATTCTTTGAAACATTGTGGGATGACTGTATCTAGACTATACCATTTCAGATTGAAGATGGAAGCTTACATCACTGAATGTGTGTATGTGTGTGTCTTGTTCTTAATGTAATACTTCAGGGTGTCAAACTTACAGTCATGACATCACATGACCTATTGCAACTTTTTCCCCCCTTTGCTGGGGGTGGGGTGGCCAGTGTGTGATGTATCCGGCCCCTGGGCCACAAGTTTGACATCCCTGTAATACATGGACAACAAATGTATCATTGGGAAAGCTTAGCTAGAATCCTTCATTATAACTTTCCTGTTTCTTATGTGCAGGGAATGTTGGAACAGCATTCAATTGTTAGATAGTCCTTCCCTTTGGAGTTTTTGGTGCTCCCTGAATCCGGTTGTTTGATTGCAGACCAGAGGTGGTATTCAGCAGGTTCTGACCAGTTTGGAGAACCGGTAGCAGAAATTTTGAGTAGTTTGGAGCATTGGCAAATACCACCTCTGACTTGAGATTTTACAGTATTCTTCCCCTGCCACGCCCACCAAGCCATGCCCACAGAACTGGTAGTAAAAAAATTTGAATCCCACCACTGTTGCAGACATTTCATTATCCACACTCCCTAGCACTGATGATGTTACTTAGAATGGTAATGAAACATCTGCAAGCAAACAACCAAACTCAGTGAACACAAAGAACTTCACAGTTCAATCCTGAGTGAGATATATTCTCTTCTATTGGAGCCATTCTTTTGTATGAACTCTTAACCTCAGAAACAAGGAACAATGAGCATGTTTCCGGTGTGAAAACTTAGTCACCACCTGAAATCTTCCATGTAATTTTTGGGGGCATAGCATAAATGGGCTAAAAGACAAGTAGCAAAATTAGTATATATTGTGTTTTGTACTTTCTTTCATGCTCAAAACTGTTACACAGGAAAGGTGATGTTAGTAATTCTTCACCCTTATTAAATCACATGGTTTGTAGATTTTTAGAGGTGAGGTAGATGGCAAGAGAATAATATTCAAGAAGTGCAGTTGAGAGTTTTGCTTTTAATGAGATGTAAAATTGTAAAAATAAATAATAATAAATGCCATTAGCCCCTTCTGATGAGCCATTCATATAATTGGCTGACATACATATAAGCTTACTTCTAGTAAACACACAAAATAATAATACAGGAGCCAGCACCATCTTTTATTTATCTATATACAAAATTAGACAAGTGGTTTGACTTTCATACAGAAGCTAGAAATCCTCATTTGTTATATTTTGAGAATGAAACTGGCTTGAGGAATATCTTGCTACTGATATCAAAATAATTATGCTGTGCTTTTTCCATGCAATCAAGAAATGCAGCTTTCTCCATCCACCACCATTATTATCTGACTCATTTTCATGCTTAGTTCTCAGTTTGTGACTTCTATTGTCAGTCAGTCTGGGTTGTAATTCTTAACAGACCAAGATGTAGAAACTGAAAGTACTACATGAAAATTCACTGAGATCATTGATATTATTCCACTACCCATTTGAACATCGGATATTCACTGGCATAGTGGGTGATCTGATATCCCACTATACTAAGAGGTGTGGTCTACCTAGAATAATGATCTTCTCTGAGGAAAAAAAAATGTACTAACTTCTTGAATCAAATTTAAGGCCAGAAATTTACTACATCCATTCAAATGCTGATGATTATATTTCATTAGATCCTTTTTTTTTTAGATAAGATATTTTCAAAATAGAAATCCAGAAGTATTGAATGGAAGTCGTAGTTACCTCCAATTGTTTATCCTCCAACATTATGCCCTCAGGAACACAGGTCTGTTCTATATGAGGATTCCATTAAACTCTGGACTAGTTTTTAATTATGTTCTCTAATGGAAACTGATGGCTATCATCTTACCTTGAATGTATTCAGACCAGATTTTAAAGCAGATGCAATGGCCGTCTACAAATATTTAAAATACTACTGCATATATGATAGGACTTTTTTTTTTCTTTGCTCCAGGGGCAGAACAGAAACCAGTGGGTTCAAAGGTATATGAAAGGGAACTTTGATTAAACATTTAAAGAATGGTGAAGCAGAATGCACTGAAAACTTCTGGTTTTTCTTCATTACATATATTAAATGGAAGAGTTATTTATTTAAATAGTTTATAAAGCCACACATTTCACAATAATGACTCTGGTCAGCATACAAAGATTAAAACACAACAATAAAATATAAGCCATGATATTCTGGTTAAAATGACAACTCCAAAACATAAAGACCTATCATCAACCGTGCTCACCTAACTATCTGACCCGAATGCCAAGGGGAATAACAGGAATCTGCTGACCTAGGTAAATCTTTAAAAAAAAAATAGCAGGAATAAAGTTGGTTAATGCTTTGGATTGGACATTGTAGAAGAGCCAGAAAATTCCATGGTCAGATGCTAGATCAAGAAGTCAAAAAAAAAAAAAATACTGGAAGGTTACCACAAGGCACATTTATACTGTTGGCAAACATAATCTACTTGGATGTTTTTATGAAATTGCCAGGAGTCAAGCTCAGTAATTTTACCTAGCTGGCACAGGGAAGGGATGATTCCAGTAATTAAAACACTTAACACCTACTTTATTGGGGGGGGGGGGAAATGAACTGCTTATGGCACATTTATTCTTAAAATGTTAAAAGAAACAAGAAACATGTACAAATACAGTAAACATAAATAAACCGAATTCAGTCATATCACTTTGGCTTTCAGTTGATACCAGTTGAATGACTGAGCAGAGTAGTTTTCAAAATCCCAGGATTCAAAGTCTATCACAACTTCTCCAAGGAATACAGAATGTCTGAAAATTCCAGCATGCCAGACGGATATCTGAAGCTGTCGGGTTTGCAGTTGGGAATATTCAATATTGTACTATAAAGATAAATGGTGTTACTGATTGGTGTGAGATTAACAAATACAATTTATAGAGGTGCAGTGTCATTATATAGCATTTTCACAGACTCCTGCAATAAATGACCGCTATCTAAACTAGGGTTAAGGATGTTATGTCACAATTGATTGGGAGGTGGTCTAATAATCCTTTAACCCTCAACCAAGTTACATCTAATGTCCTTCTTTCTTGAAGACTGAGGCTGCCCAATCCCAATCAAAGCTGATCCAGAAATGTAATGCTTTCTATCGAACCTCATGGCAGCTTTCCTTGTCTGCAATTGGATCCACTTTTCAATCTATGTTAGATTCAGGTAGTTTAAATTATACAGCTCCTTTAAGTTTGATAAATTACATATCAATAAGAGAAGAGCAACTATTTACTCAACTTGTAAAATAATTCTGAAACCATTCCAAATGTTGCATATGACATCATTTAGTAAACCAGCTTCTCTTTTAGATAGTGTAGATCAGGGGTGTCATATTCATGTCATCATGGTGGCATCATGTGATGTATTGGGACTTTTTTCTCCTTCGCTAAACTGGGCGGGGGCATGGCAGCATATGACGCATTCGGTCTATGGGCCAGGAATGACAGTCCTGGTGTAGACACTGGAGTGTCACAAGATTTCTTCTTCAGCTCCAAAATGCTTAGGTACTTTTATTTGTAAGTGTGATTCAGTAAAATCTGTCTTACAAGTGATACTCAGTGTGTATAAAGAAAGCAGGACAGCATCTTTTAAACCAACAAAACTTTCTCCCTAAAAAGGGTAAATTCCCATCTGTATTTAAAAATCAATATCCAAGATTCTTGCAAGCCTATATTCAGAAATCCTATTAAATGCAACGTTATGTTCCTAAGTAATGGGCCATTGGTGTATATGCTTAGATATGTATTCCTTAAGAATTTTTCCAGACCAAGCAGTTTTCTCTACTATCAAGTCACAAAAGTTAGCAAGATCGGCACATTGGTGACAATTATTTCCACTCTTCGCATTCAGAGTACTAATCTTTGGACATCAACTACCATCATATTATGTGACATGCTGTGAAAATCCTAGACAATCCTAGATCTCTCAAAAGGCATACATAGGCTGCAAAAATCCAAGCACTTCTCTAGATGGGAACACAGAAATTTCCCTTTACTCTTATCATTTGTTAGGATTTCACTGCAGATCCCAATAATCCTAATACAATAATATCTATTTTTTAATCTACACAGTAATTTTTATAACTGTTTTGAATTATCCCTTTAATTTTGATTGGATCTGTTTTTATAAACTCATAGGAAGAACTATGACTGCATAAAAACACCTGTATGTTGTGCTCTTCCTTGACTCTTCACAGTATGACCAAGAATTGCTTAGAATACCTTTAATATTTCTTGGAACGTTGGATTCAGTGTGTTCTTTTTGACAGAAGTCTTCCGTTTATTCTGAGGAGATTTATCAGGCAGCAAGTAAGTCTTGATGTATCTTTCAGTCAAAGATAAAGACAACAATTAACACTTGTGAAAAGAAGTGAGGAAGGAAATAAAGGTATAAATAAAAAGAGGGTGGTTAATTAATGCCTCTGACCATCAATTGCATGAAGTTTCTCTCTTTGTTTCATAAATTCAGTGCAGATTTTTTTTGTATTTAAAGTGTAAGGAAGGATTTCATAGGCTGCTTTGTAAAGTATGGATGTTGGTCAAGTTTTTAAAAAGAATAGCTCAAGCCCCAACCACTACTATATCGGGTATATTTTAAGAACGTGTTATTATCCAACCCATCCCCATACATATTTACACGTACACACTTTGATATTTTAGAATTCAAGTCTTTATGTCATATGAGATCTTTTTTCTTAAATGAATACATGAATACATTTAATTCAGTATACCGGTGAACTGAAATTGCCAAGTAATGTCTAGTATACGTTGATCACTGTAATGGAGTTTTTGTTATTATATCCATTTTTAAGAGTGAATAAAGTTCAACAATGAAAACAAACTGGAAGGCTAATCTTGGTACAGTTTTTATTAAAAACATCATTACAATGAAAGTCAACTCAACTCTGAGTCAAAATTTGGGTGAGGGGAATTAATGAGATAAGCATATGTATGAAATCAGTGTTGTACATATGTAGGCCTTGGGATTCAGATAGGAAAAATACAGTGATTCTTATCTCCATGTATTTGGCTCCTGCTTTCTAATTTTATTTTGTGTTGTAAGAAGCATTTGCTTTTTGTTTCTTTTCTTTTTTCTTTTTCTTTTTCCTTTCTTTTATTTTGTAACAAGGCTGTTTTCTTATTCACTTTTAAATTCTGTTTTAATTTAGTCCTGATAATTTAGTCCATAATTGATCAGTCAGTCTAGCATCTGCAGTTATTCAATCTAACCAATCCATTAATTCTGAGAAACAAATTTAGTAATTACATCATGAATTTGAGGAGTATTAAATCAACAAAACAGATATCATAGTTATCCTTAGGGTTTAGATAGCACAAAGAAAGTTGAGACATCACGAAACCGCCCTAGAGCTATCTGGGTTTGAACTTGTAGCTAGGTTTTATATGATGTGATAGTCTGGATGTGTTCAGGCTCCTTCCCATAATACTGTCATCTAGCAACATTTGACGCAGGAAGCACACTTTCTCCATAGTTGCCTCTGGCCTGTGGAACATTCATTCCCCAGAAATCTGGCAGGCCTCCATTCTTTTAGCCTTCTTGGAAGGCCTTGAAGAACTGGGTCTTCCTGCAAACATTGTGGGGAAATGAGATTGGAGGCCACCAAGGCAGAATGCTAATGGTGAAAGAGTGGTGCCCTGGGAATGCCAAGAATTTATATTGTGGTTGGTTGGTTTCTTGTAATGTTTTAGTATTTTGTGAGCTGCCCAGAGTTGTGATTTATAATATGGGGAACTATATATCTCTTTTAAATATATATGTAGTATGTTATATTTTATTATACCTTTGCTACTAAGTTTGTGCATATCTGCTTCCAAATAGTGTTGATAACTTTGGTGACTGCCTGGGCAAGTCCCTGCAATTTTCTTGGCAAAATTTCAGCAGTTTGCCTTTGCCTGCTTCCTGGCTGAGAGAGATTGATTGGCCCAAAGTCACCCAACTGGCTTTGTGCCTAAAGGCAAGACTGTGGTCATGGTCATGGTGTCCTGGTTTCTAGCTTTATGGTTTAACCACTACTCCAATCTGGCTCTTGCTGCTATGAGTAACTTTATGACTCCTGACTCACCCCAGTGAATGGAGAATTAGCCTGCTCAATGGTAAAACAAAGGTGGGAGGGAAACAAGCTTGTCAGTGTGTTCTTTCTAAAGCAATGAAAACAAAGCATCTGTCAGTTGCAAAGGGCATCAAAGAAGGGACACATTTAGCCATTTTTTTTCAACATCACTAATGCTGCTGCCAAGTGCCTAGGATATTAGGAGATTCAAGCAGTTCAAATGAATAGAAAAATTATTCTCTACAAGAATTTGGCCAACTAACAGTTAAGGGAAATGCCTGGGAGATAACAGAGGCCTTCAAGTTGGGCTGAACTTAGAAATTTTGCAGGTGTGCAGGAATTCGTGACGCATTTGATTCCTCCCTCAGGCTCTGTTATGCCCCTGGTGGAGACTGACTCTGAGGGAGAGGAGGAAGAGCTGACAGGGAGTGGAAGTGGTGGCTCCGGAGGGAACCACAACCTCTGGGGGAAGGGCAGAGGCCAGCTGAGCAGTCAGAGGAGGACCCAGGCCCATCTCCTATCCATCCTAGGGCACGCAGGGAGGAGAGGATAAGGGAGAGATATGGTCTACTCGGGAGGAGAGGGCCTTGATCCTCTTCATGGGCTGCAGCTGTGACAACTGAATAAGAGTACGGACCTGCGTACGGGCAAACACTGGAAACAAAGTGTGGAAATATCTCTAGTTTATGGTTCCTCTCTGAGTTTGGCATCCTTCCCAGTGTGTGTGATCTGTGGACATCCTCCAGCCCCTATCTTGCCTGGTTTGTGTTGCTTTTTCCCTTCTTTTTGGAACTGTTTGTGTGGGAGTTTTTTGGCTTCCGTCAAGAATATTCGGAGCTTGGAAGCAAAGTGAAGGAATAAAAGGGGCTTCACCTGTTTTCTGTGACTGTATTTGTTTTGTATCCCATCCTGGGTCATCACAGGCTCAGCCTGGTCATCTCCTACATCTACTTCCTTATGGACATGTTCATGGTCATGTTAAAGTATATTTCATCTATCCTTGAGTTTGCAGAAATATTTGTCAGCATAACTGGTATTATTCCAAGAATTAAACCAAGCTTTCATTTGACTTAGCAATAATTGTCCTGAGTAGTCCAGTCCTTAAAGCTTTATCGCAGAACAATTTAACGGGAGAGATTTTCCTGGGGGGTGGGGTGTCATACCCATTCAAAATCATCACTCTCCTAAAAGTGTGGCAAGGCCAGCTTGGAAGAGTGTGGTTGATGCTTGGAAAAAAGGCATTAGCCACTTTTCCAGTTAGTTGGCTGAGTGACAGGTCTTCAGTACAGAGAGACATGGAGTATTTCTAGGTGTGGGTCAGCTGGTCTTCTGGAAAGACTCAGGGCAAAGAGGAAAAAAAAGAATGGGGTTTGTTGTTCTGCGAAAAATCATCACCTCTGCTATCTGCAGATCAGAGAGTCTGGAAATGCTTTTAACAAGAATCCCAAGTCCTATATTTGTTTAAAAATTTGATTTAGAAGAGAATAAAAGCCAAGTGGAAGAAATTAAAGGAAGCCTATTATTAATCTTATTAATGATTTTGTTTTTTAAATTGAAAAATGCTATACCACCCATGTATCCACAGATGTATGTGTCAATGTTCATTCCTAATGGCGATGATAGTAAAATAATAAAATGACCGTTGTGGCATCGCATACAAGTTCATAAGAGATAAAGTTTGCAACATGATATACATATTTCTTCACATGCTTCCCCTCTCTCCTCCTTGGGATGCATCTTCACAAATAATATCATTTTACAAGACAAAAGGAAGAACTGACCGACCTATTGAAAATTCAGGTCACAAATAAGATCAAGTACTTGGGGATACATTTGACAGCAAGATGCAGTACACTAAAAGAGAATAATTATATCAAACTTAAGCAGCAGATAGCGCTAGATTTGGCGAAATGGGAAAATTTACAACTGTCATTAATAGGGAGAATATCAACAATCAAGATGAATATATTACCCAGAATTTTATATTTGTTCCAAACAATTCCAATTAGGCTTGGAAAAGATTACTTTGAAGATTTAAATAAAATTGTGTTGAAATATATATGGCAAGGTAAAAAAGCGAGAATAAAGTTAAAACTTTTGCAAGATGCCAGAATAAGAGGAAGATTTGGTTTGCCTAATTGGGAGTTGTATTACCAAGCTACAAATTTGATGTGGGTTAAGGAATGGATAACAATAAGAAATACTAGATTGTTGACATTAGAAGGACATGATCTGTTGTTGGGGTGGCATGCTTTTCTATGGTATAAAGGAACTAAAACACAGGGGTATTTTAGAAGACATTATATACGGGAGTCTCTGTGATTAAACTGGGAGAAGACTAAAAGACAATGTTATTTGAAAATTCCAGTCTGGCTATCGACTATTGAAGCATTTTCTTATCCTATAATATATTAAAAGGAACAAACAGTTAGATATGGTGAAATATTGAATGAAAAGGGTGAACTTAAATCTATACAAAAATTAGAGGAACAAGGTATAAAGATGAATTGGTTTTCATATGCGCAAATACATTCAAGGTATGATAAAGACTCTAAAACAGAAGGTTTCTATGATAAACTGACTGATTTAGATAAGATTTTGATATGTACTGATGAAAAGGTGATTAAAAATTGTATGGATATTTATTAGAAATTAAACTAGAAGAAGAACAAGTTAAAGAAACAATGATTGCTTGGGGGAAGAATTTTGGATATAGGATTGATCTAGAGAAATGGCAAAAATTGTGGTCTCAAAATTATAAAATGACAATGTCAACAGCATATAAAGAAAATTTGTATAAGATGTTTTACAGGTGGCATTTCCCCCCGACAAGAATAGCAAGAATGTTCAAGAACAAATCTGAAAAATGTTGGAAATGTCATCAGACATCTGGCTCATATTACCATATGTGGTGGACTTGTGCAGATGCTAAAAAATATTGGACTAAAATCCACATGTGGTTGGAAAAAATGACAAAAAAAGCATATAGATTTGAAACCAGAGATATTTTTATTGGGAATTTTACCTGAAATATATAGTAAAGAATTGAAATACCTGATTGTAAATGTATTAACAGCGGCTAGGATTGTATTTGCTAAAAACTGGAAAAATGAGAAAATACCATCACAGGAGGAAATCATTAAGAAAATACTGGAATGTGCTGAAATGAGTAGATTGACATTTGAAATCAGAGAACAAGAGGATAAACAATTTTATAAAATTTGGGATCTATTCTATCAATGGTTAGACAATAAAACATGGTAATGAAATATGTAGATTCTTAGAAAATAATAAGTATATAAAGATGTATTCTTTTCTTATTAGATCTACAAAATGGTTGTAGGATAGATTTGAAATGATAATATGAATTGTCATAAAACAAATTAAGTAAAATATGATTATTTCATAAAACATGAATGAATAAAACTATAGTCAAATGATTGATTAACAATGATATTAATGTATTTAATACTTGATTGAAAATATGAGAATATATACAATGTAATTGTAATTGAGGACTGTGAAGTGGAGGCACAAAACAATTTGTAAACCAACCGGCATACTGTATGTATATATATGGAGGATGGCTTGATGTTTTTATGTTTTGTTTGTCTATGTTCATCTTAAAAACCAATAAAAATTTTAAAAAAAGAAAGAAAGAAAACAAATAATATCATTCTATAATTAAAATACATCTTAGATTTTTTTTTAAAAAAGTAAATCAAAAGAAACTTACGGATTGCATTTCTTTTTTTCTTCCTTTCCATAGGCCAAATTCTTGCAGGCGCTGATGCATACTTCCAAAATGCCAAATTTGAAATTATATCTAATGGCAAATTCTATTTCACCACATACATCAGCTTTTGCAAAGTCAACAGCGCCACTGCAAACACTGCTAATACTGTATAAACTATCCTGTATAAGACAGTGAATTAAGTCAATACAAAAGCGTCTCAACTACATAATAATCTGTTTGCTTTCTAGGTTCAATTTAGGATCCTAAAATCTAGACCAGGGGTGTCAAACTCGTGTCATCACGGTAGCGTCACATGACATATCGGGACTTTTTCCCCATTTGCTAAACCGGGCAGGGGTGAGGTCAGGACATGATGCATCCGGGCCGTGGGCTGCGAGTTTGACACCCCTGATCTAGACTGACTAGATTGGGTGTCAGCAACCCGTGGCTCTTGGGGCCCTCTGCTGTGGCGATCCTACCACTGGCTGAGCCCGCCCCTCGCCCTCACCTCCCAGTCACTCTTCGCCTGGCCTGAGAAGGTAAAACATAAAAAACAGAAATGACAGGGAGGGAGAGAGGGAGAGAGAGGCCCATTTCCCACAGAAAACACCGGTAGTCACAAAACCTGGATAGGCATGGTGGGGAGGGAAGGTCATGTGACTGGATGGGAGTGATGTTGAGTTGGCCACGCTCACCCAGGTTTTGTGGCTCCCAGTGTTTTCTGTAGGAAATGGGTCCCAATGGCTCTTTGAGTGTTTAAGGTTGCAGACCCCTGGACTAGGTGGCATGAAGGGTTAGAACAATCTTGGCAACTTCATGATATGTGGATGTCGATATGCTGGTGAATTCTGAGAGATTAATTAATCATACATCTTACGATGGCTGGGAATGCTGGGGGTTGAAAACCACCCATCTTAAAGTAACCAAGTTGTGATGGAGTGCACACCTGCAATAGCAGTGGGGGAGGCTTTTAGCAACACAGAGCTTTCCCAGAAAGAGGCCCAGATTAAGAGACTGTGCAATCCCAAAATGGAGGGTTGAATAGATTAGGGGTAATTTCACCCTAAAATTGTTCAAGATACACGGTATCTAGTAGGTCAGAAAGACAGAGCTTTCATTTGGCAAGATTCTGTCAATTATGTGTAAGTAAATAAAGCATTGATTCGGTTGGATCTCACTGTCTCATCTCTGGGCTTGGGCCTGACACCAGGGTTGAAAGAGAAAGTTTTGCATCTTTTTACTGTCATTTATTACTTGTCCAATCCAAATCAGAACGGTAATAAACCTTAATATCCAAAGAAAATAAGATTTCCCACACAACTAATTTGAAGTGGTTCTCTGCTCTACTATCCAAAATTTTAAAAAAGGCCCGTTGTAAAGAGGTAAACAAATATTTTATATCATTATTTCTGTCTCTGAAACAGACGGTTTCTGAAGTTGTATATATTTTTCAAAATTATATGGTATTTCTTTGTGAAGATAGTTAATAAACTGTCAAGCATTAAAAATCTATACATTTTCCGAGCACAGTAATAGAAAAAGGACAAACAGGATCACTACTTACACATTTTTTATCTGCACAGATTAAGGCATCATTTGTAACTATGGAGGATATGACTTCGTCACTTGATGCTTTTATGCAAGCAGTTCTGCTGTAATCTTGTTCTCCATTGGTACATGATTTCTTTGTTAAAAAAAAAAGGAAGGGCAATAATATATAAATGCTACTTGTCTTTATAAAATCAACCCAAGGGGCTTCTGAAATGCTGAATGATGCAGTCAGTGATTAAATTTGAATGATTCAATAACGTAAGCCCGTTGGTAATTAAACAAAGCACAGCAAAATGAACAGTTTAAAAAGAAGGCCAGCTACTTCCATTCACTGCCCTACTTGGCAATGGATTGCAAGTGAATCCATGGACAGTCTGAGGTTAATGGAGACACTGTAGATCTGGAAGCTCCATGTGAATGTTTCCCCTTCCCATCTGTAATTGGGGAGGAGAATAAATAAACGATGATTTCCCAAGTATACACTAATGGGATTACAGTTATTGTATACTGTAAACCACCATACTTTGCATAGTTTATTCAGTTCATAGAACTTTTAACAGATAATCAGAGTTGGAAAGGACCTTGTAGGTCATCTAGTCCAACCCCCTGCCCAAGCAGGAGACCCTACACCGTTTCTGACAGATGGCAGTCCAGTCTCTTCTTGCAAGCTTCCAATGTTGAAGCTCCCACTACTTCTGGAGGCAACTTCTGTTCCATGGGTTGATTGCTCTGTCAGAAAATTTCTCCTTATTTCCAGGTTGAATTTCTCCTTGTTCAGTTTCCATCCATTATTCCTTGTCTGGCCTTCAGGTGCTTTGGAAAACAGCTTGATCCCCTCCTCTCTGTAGCAGCCCCTCAAATATTGGAACACTGCTATCATGTCTCCCCTGGCCTTTCTCTTCACTAGACTAGCCATGTACAGTTCCTGCAACCATTCATTGTATGCTTTAGTCTCCAGTCTCCTAATCATCTTGGTTGCTCTTCTCTAAACTCTTTCTAGATTCTCAACATCTTGTGTGCGTTCTCATCAAATCTGATCATGATTCAAGTACAGAATACCCAACATTCCATTAATATATTGCATAATTAATATAGTTCAATAGTACTGTACCCTAGTTGACATATCAATAGCAGTATCAGATAGGCTTCTCCTATCCTTCACTGGATTCTTGTCTGGCCCATAATTTGCTGTAAGAAGGTATTTCTCATTGTCCACATCATTCTGTGACTTTGAGATTTCTAGTGGGGAAAAAAGTCAGAGAATTAAAAAAGTCAATTCAGCATGTTCATAGTTATAAGTCTAAAATTTAAATTGTTATAATACCTGCAAGGCTGACCTGGCACCATTTGAAGTATAATATTCTTGTTTGGATTTTATGAAACTAAAACAGCCCTATTAAAATATATCAATTATATATTACTATAGCTCAGATTAGAGAGCCAGTTTGGTGTAGTGGTTAAGGTATCAGAGTAGAAGTTGGAAACTGGGAATTCTATTCCCCCCTTAGCCACAAAGTTAGCTGGGTGACCTTGGATCAGTCATCTTGGATCAAGAGATAAAGCTCTCATCACCTGAAAAATTGATATATTTGAACAAACTTTTTTTTTTATCCATGGAAAAGTCTCTCATGGAATCTCACTCAGTTCACTAGAATTTATTAATACACGTTAATGAATAATGAAACACTTTAATCCAGTGTCATGGACACCTTAGATTCTGCCTAGAAGGGAATTGTCAGATGAGAAGTTCTTATTTTCTTGAGAAATGACATTGGGGAATGAAAGGCAGGAAAGCTACAGTTCCTTGTAAACTACAAAATTTGAAGTTCCAATCCAGATTCTAAGATTCAGTCAGCTGCACCTTTGATACTGGTTGGGAATCTCTTTCTTTAACTCCCCCAAATCCAAAAGATATATAGTAAAATACAGTACTATTCTTCTAGCTACCAGATGACTACACCTATCCTTTTAATACAACATCTTATTTCAGAATAGTAAAGACCCTTACTTTTGATATGTGTAGTAAAAGACAGAAAAAGGTTTTCCATAGACTTGTGGAAACCTGGATTAAGTTCCTGAAAGACAAAGAGACAAAAAGACATAAATAGAATGGAGCTATCTTCTCAAGGTTTCCCGGATTATATAATCTCTTTGAAACTGTCAAGGACGCGCAGGTGCAAACTTGCAAACAGAACTATAATTTTTGTGTCCAAGCATTTAGGAGATGACCCGTGCTTGCGTTTTATTGTTATGTTTTTATCCCACCTTTTAAATATTTTGGCCAACTCAAGGTGGCAAATTTACCTAATACTCCTTCCTCCTCCTATTTTTCACACAATAACCCTATAAGGTGGGTTGGTTTGAAAGACAGCAACTGGCCCAAAGTCACCCAGCCAGCTTTCATGCCAAAAATCAAATACTGTCCAGTCCTTTGGTATTTAAAAGATTACAGTGTTTACCATAGTAATTTTATAAATCAACCAACATTCCAGTCTGGGTTGCAAAATAACAAATAACCACTACATTTTGTCCCTTTGCTGCCATCTAATAACCATCTGAATTTTTGCAACTCAGATATGGTAAATGATTATTATAATTATTTTATATTTCATTTTTGAAAATATTTAAACAGGAAATAGGATTCAATCTAAGAGTTCCAATACAGTAAATTCTCTCACTATGATAGAATCAGCTTTCTGGTTTTCTTTACTTCACATTCTTACTTTACTTAAATAATTAATCACTATTCTCTTCATTAAAAAATGTAAATCCATTTTAACTCAAATGAAATATTTACCCAAAATGAGGCACTCATTTTTATTTGGCATGCAAGGCTTAAAATGGGAATCAAAGCTCCCCAATTGCAACAAATAACAAGTAATCAATCACGATAAATGGCATGACTCAGGGTTAGCTCATGGGAATTTCAAATATTGCTCCCTGCCTTATATTCAGAAGAAAAAAAAAACTGGCTGCAGAGTATGTACTGTTAACTAATCTTGGGAAACTGAAGAGAAGTAACGCAGACCAAATAATTTCATTTAATTAAATTAAATTTATCATAAAGATGAGACAGATGAATAAACTATGAATACTTCTATTTTGCAATAGGAAAGACTATATTGTAATATCTCAGAGTGTGGCAGAAGAAGTTCAGACTAAACAAAAGGCAACCAAAATTAATTCCTTTCCAGATTAAGGAAGAAATTGCTACAGAAAATGACTACAGCATGGTTATTGTTCCAGACAAGAAGAGTAAACAAATGTCTACAGTATTGAAATGAAATGAAGGGTGAGCCGAACACCGACTAGGAACGCACTAGTGGACAAGAAAATAGTTACAGAAAATACAGTTGTATCCAGTGTAGTCTCGGTTGAAGCATTTCAGGTGTATCCCAAGTAATAGTGGATTTCTATCTGCTACTGCAGCCTCCTTCTCAGATACACTCACTTTCTTTGGCTGATCATGATTAACATTGGAAGATACTTGGCAGAAAAATGATCAGCAGAAAGAGAGAGGGTACTCCTATCTATTTTTGTTTTTTAAATCTAGTCTCTTCCCTATTTCATACTTAATAGTTAATACATGGATGATTATATAAATTAATAGCTATGCCTACCACTTTAGGCTAAAAAAAAATTAAACATGCATAGAGATCAGTTTCTGGAAACTATCAGACAAAAAAAAACATAAGATTAAAGAAAACACATTAAGCATAAAATCAATGTTAGCTGAAAGCTTTATGAGTAAGTAGGTGATTGGTCAAACAGAAATGCAGAGTGATACATTACCAATATACTCGTTCTATTGGTCAATTCAGCAAAAGGTGGAGGAGTTGGAGGAATCACTGATACTTTGCTAAGAGTTTTAAGGGAAAAAGAACATTAAAAAAGCAATTGGCAAATATATCTGCTACATTTCCAAAATTGTCTCTTTTACATTTCATTATTTATCCCCAATTTTAGAAGTCAGGAATTTCTAGCGTACACTGATATTGCATCCAATATTTAGAATAAACAATAATAATAAAAATTTACTCACATAAAATACAATACAGCAAGTCCTCAACTTACAACATTCCATTTAGTGAAAGTTATGATGTTAAAAAAAAGTGACTTGTGATCAGTTTCCACACTTACAACCATTACAGCATCCCCATGGTCACAGGACCACTTGGCAATTGGTTCATATTTATGATAGTTGCAATGTTCCTCAGTCATCTGATTCCCTTTTACGACCTTCTGACAAAACTAATGGGGAAGACAGATTCACCTAACAACTGCGTTACTAACATTAGCACCTGCAGTGATTCACTTAACAATTGTGGCAAGAAAGCTTATAAATTGGGATAAAATTCACTTAACAGCTGTCTGGCTTAATAATGTAAATTTGAGACTCCATTGGGGTCACAAATTGTGGACTACCTATACAAAATACACTGCTTTCTCTTCATTGTGCATGTTTGGTATTTTGTATTATTAATATTAACAACCAGCTTTAGAAACCAAGTATCAAGCTATTAAATACATTAAAATTTCCACCTGAAACTTAAAGGGCTGCAAAGGATTGAAGAACTAAGAAAATGAAATAAAGGTAAAACGTAGGAGATAAATCTTCTCAGCCTACAGTAACTTCCTAGTTCAAAGAACAAGAATTACTTCTTGATATGAGAAAGCTAAGATTGAGCTAAGATTTATAGGAACATGGAACCTTAGTTTGGAATAGTTTTATCGGTCCATTAGTCCTATTGTTTATCTACTCATGACTGGATAAACATTTCTTCTCACAGCTTCCCCAATGGCATTAGCAAAGGAAGCTATTATCATGATGGTTTGAATACCAGAGGTGGGATTCAAGTTTTTTAACAACCGGTTCTGTGGGCATGGCTTAGTTGGTGGGCGTGGCCAGCTCAATATCACTCACATCGAGGCACGCATCTCATCGCCTGGCCTCTCATGACTGTGGGGATGCTGCAACAGTCATAAGTGTGAAAAATGGTCATAAGTCACTTTTTTCAGTGCCATTGTAACTTTGAATGGTCACTCCACACAAGCCAAGTACCAGCAAAGGAGGGGAAAAAACCTCCAGAGAAGTTCCTGAGACAGGAAGTCTACTCCTGCCAAGAATGTAATGTTAACGAATGTTAACGGAGAGGCAGTTTCTGTAAGCAACACCAGAATGTTTCCTTCCTGCCTTCTTTACAGGATTAGGCCAGTAATTTTTTCTAATAACCGGTTCTCTGAACTACGTAGAATGTTAACAACCAGTTCTAGCGAATAGTTGCGAACCTATAGAATCCCACCCCTGTTTGAAACTAATATTATCAGTTTTTCAATAATGCTGAAGTTTCCCCAAACTTTATCCTCTTAAAGTCAACATGAAGAATAGCAGTCATAACACTTCCTTGTGGACATAACAACATGTTAGTAACATCTGAGGGCACCTATAACCTATTAGACTTTGCTAATTTTACCCTCATATTTGCCACTGAATGTAAACCATTCGTTCAAGTGTCTAATAAGATGTCCAAATGGTAAGAAAAATATATTCCCCAGCTTCCCAATGTCTTCCTTCTGCTGCCTGAAAGTTACTACTACTTCTCACTCATTTTGACCATAGATCCACCCGCTTCTGGCCTAAACATGTTACCTACCCATGATGTTAATATGAGTACAACATAGCTTGGTCATTCAGAGGTAAGACCCATCAGAAATGCTTAAAATTCTTTGTAAGCTACATATATTATTTACCATGAATCTAGGTTTGCCCTAGGTAAACCTAGACTCATCATAAATAATATATGGAGCCTACAAAGAATATTTAAAGATTCTGTGTTGTTGTTTTTTTGTCACTTAGATCATATCTGTGATTGAAACATGAAATAGAATAAAATAGAATAGAATTCTTTTATTGGCCAATTGTGATTGGACACACAAGGAATTTGCCTTGGTGCAGATGCTCTCTGTATACATAAAAGATACATTTGTCAAGAGTCAAGAATCATAAGGTACAACACTTAATAATAGTCATAGGGTACAATAAGCAATCAAATCATACTAGGAAACAGTCCATATAAATCGTAAGAATTAGGATGTTTATGGAAATTCTCACTCATTCAGGTCATGGTTGTACCAAAGGTGCTTTTTCAAGAGGCAACTGGACTTTCTGGGTTTTCTCTGAAGAGGTTTCATTTCTCATCCATGAAGCTTCTTCAACTCAGAGCCCCTTGAAAAAGCACCTTTGGGATGTGGAATTAGGACATTTGTCACTTAGATCATGTCTGTGATTGAAACATTTAGGACAAGTATATGAAATGCCACAGAAATCTCATTTAAAACGTGCTTGTTTTATGTGTATAAAATAAGATGTTACATTTAAATTGTAACATTTGCATTTCAATTCATATTAAAATGATTCTTAAATAACAGTAGGAAAGGGTATCAGAATTGAAACTAAATATTTTTGAATAATTTGCTGAAAGTCAACTCCCCAATTTCCCTTCAACATTCAAAATGTAATACTATTTGTGGTCTGTCAGTCACATTCCTGTTAGCCTTGGTATTTATTTTTAAGCTTTAATCTTTTTAACCTTTAACTTTTTCAATGGAAGTGAAACAAAACTTTACAACTTAATCCCTTTTACCAACTTTGCAAGAACAGCTTACAGTATCAGGGTCAAGGGCCACAATGTTAAAGAGATGTCCTTTACTCCTCCCCTGCCCCCAATGTTCTTGGAGTTGTGGCTATAGAAAAAGCCATCATTACAGACCCACACTGAGGTACTTGGCTAGACTACAACGCTGAGATAAAAAGCAGTGTTTTTGATGGCATGAAAGGTAACACAAGGAAAACTGAAACAATTTCCCCAGGTAAATATTTGGATGTGGAGATTTCATGAATCACTTTGCCAAAAATGTCTTATATTTTAAGCCTTTCTAAAGTTGGACATAGAAATTCCAAGAATTGTCTTATATATCTGAACTAGCTGGATACCCATGTTTTGTGACAAAACTATGTGATTGGGTTATGCAGGAGCCCAGACTTTCCTTCTTCCTTTCCTCCTTTCTCCTCCTTTCTTTTGCTTCTTTCCCTTCCCTTCCTCCTTTCTTTTCCTTCTTTTTCCTTCCCTTCCTCCTTTTCTTTCCCTTCCTTCTTTCCTCCTTTCCTTTCCTTCTTTTCTCCTTTCCTTTCCTCCCTTCCCCCTTCCCCTTTCCTTCTTTCCTCTTTTCCCTTCCCTTCCTCCTTTCCTTTCCTTCCTCCTTTCCATTCCTTTCCATCTATCCATCATACATATATACATACATATACATATATACACATACACACACACACATACACACATACATGTATATATGTATATATGTATGTATGGTATTCAGCTTTGTTCGGGTATTTTCCCACATCATTATAGTTGTGCTTTTAAAGTTGTAGCAACAGTTCGGCAGAATCTTATCTGCCATCATCAGGCTTGTTTGTGTATTGGGTTTGTCTGTGAGTCAGACTTTCACAGCCGTTTCTGTTTTAAATTTGGTGCTAGCCTACGCTGTGCCAGAATGATTTTTTCTTCATCCTGATTGGTTGGGAGTCTTGGTCTGTGTTTATTGGTCTTGGAGTTTGCTGTGTTCTGCTTGATTGGTGTTTCTAATATCTTCTGTCTGTTTTGTAGCTTTGTCTTGATTGGCTGGAAACATTGTGTTTCCTGTATTGGAGGCTTTTAGTGAGGCTTGGCTCCGAGTTAAGGGATGGCTATCATTTATTAGGAAGCTAGGTTTCATCTGGGTGCCTGGTTGGGGTGTGTTTGAGCTGGAGGTATCAGGGGGGATCTCTTTGTGCTCAGGTGTTTGCCTGGCTTGTGGTGTGGAGATTTTTTTGTTTGAGAGTTCAGGCTTCCAGATAACTGACAGTCTGGTGGAGTCATCTCTTCTATTCATGCTTTCAGGTCTTTTTTCAATCTCTATGGCTTCTCTGATAATTCTGTAGCTGGGGTTTTCTATAGTGGCTAGGGTTTTGGTGCCATTGAAGTCGATGCTATGACCTGTTGCTTTCATGTGTTGGACTAGTAAGGAAGTGTGTTCCAGCTTTTTTACTGCATTTTTGTGTTCATCTAGGCAGGTACTTATTCTTCTATATAATCTATAAGCAAAAGTGTTTTAAAATGCAATCCTCCAACTTTTGTCCCAAAGGTCTTTTTTTTTTTTCAGGAGGCAACTGGACTTTCTGGTTTTTCATTGAAGATGTTTTACTTCTCATCCAAGGAGCTTCTTCAGCTCTAGCTGGATGGTGGGTAATAAAATACTACAACCTTTGATGCCAAAGAAGCTTCCTGTTTGGAAGTGTAGTTTGCATCCTTTTAGAGAGTCGCTGAGGCAACATGGAGGTTTGTCTGTGTCCCCAGGTCACCTGAGTGCCACAAATGGCTGTGGAGCTACTAAGCTAATGGAATGTGAGGTAACAGGATGTGAGGCAATTGGCAGTTGGAACAGAGTTCTTTTCAGGAGAGAGAGTAAAACTCCTTAGCATCAGAGCATGTTAATTACTGTATTAAGAAATACTAATGATCTGATGGTCATTTTGAAAAATCCTTTCATAGTGAATATATATATATATATATATATATATATATATATACACATACACATACACATACACATACACACACACACACACACACACACACACACACACACACACAAA